AACCCAGGAGTGGTCAGTTTATCTGTCTGAGGGGCTGGAAGGCTCCTTCCCAAAACGATGGCACCACCACGCATTCCCACCAGCAGCCCTGGAAGAGTCCAGGTCCAGTGCTGTCCTGTTTACTCTTCTATGTCCAGTGTAATGGAGGGTCTGCTGGTCCTAGAGAGACATCCTGGGTTCCTCCAGGCCTTTCAGAACTACCAGAAGCATGTGGTGTTGGTGGTAGCTGTTTTATCTTTCACGCTGAGGAACTTGTCCTTCAGACCTTGCTCTGCCAAGAGCTGTTACACCTGACCACATTCAGACGCTTGTCCTTTCCAGCCCGACCTTGACTGGCTCTGTTTGATCAACTGGTCAGGGTTGTATGCTCGGTCATAAAAGACTTTTCCGTAGCTGTGGCCAGTGGCACAGCTTCCCTGTCCATCAGTGGGATAGTCCTGTCACTTTCCCTTGGGGGCCTGCCTTCCTCCCATTCCCCCCCCCATTGAAGTAGCCAGTTGCCTGAGAAGGAAATGGTCAGTTCCAGTCTGTGTGTGCAAACACCATACAGCAAGGCTTATACTTAACACAGCTGCATTTTTTTAGGGACTCCTGCACCCTGTACACCATCCCTCCTCCCCAACTGTGTCTCCCCAAGCATCTCTGAACATTGCTAAAGTTCGCTGCTGCTACTGAAATTCTAGGCAAGCTCCTGGAGCTACAGACACGCTCCTATTCAGAATCCACCCTAGAAATCCCCACCCCCACATCAGAAAATAGAAGTTGGAAAAAAACTGAAAGTTGATTGTAAAGAAGAGACTCTCTCTCTCTCTCTCTCTCTCTCTCTCTCTCTCTCTCTCTCTCTCTCTCTCTCGGGTTGCTCCTGGCTCTGCACTCAGAAATTACTTCTGGTGGTGCTTAAGGAACCATATGGGATGCCAAGGATTGAACCCAGGTCAGCCACATGCAAGGCAAATGCCCTCCATGCTGTCCTATTGCTCAGGCCGACAGTTTCTCTTTCTCCCTCTTTCTCTTCCCTCTCCCTCCTTTCGCCCTCCTTCCCCTGTCCCGCCCTCTCTCTGTTGAACCCTGGGAGATATTGTGAAAGGTCTGACCCTTTCCAGATGCCTGTGAAAACCAGTCCTGTGGTAATAGGAGGAGGCTTTGTTGATTGCCAGGCAGTGTTCCGAGGCCTTGCATGCTGTCTCATTGAACAAATCCAACCCATTGTTGTCCCCAGGAACAAATGAAGAGGTTGAGGTTTAGTGGTGTAATGTGCCCAAAGTCACATAACTAATATGTGAAGAAGCTGACATTCCTAGGATAAATGTACAGTGGATAGCACACTTGCTTGAGCCCTGTCAGGAGTGATCTCTTGAGTACTGCCAGGTATGGCCCCCAGACGAACAAAAATTGTTTCACCATTGTGCACTTGGCCTGTCAAGCCAGGAAGTACTTGGTAAACCTTTTCCGGAGCCAGCGAGGCTGCTGGCTTCACTTGAGGAGTGTGCTCTCATGAGCATGGGCAGGAATGAAGGCAGGTGTCCTCTGCCCCTCCTGGAGAGGGCTGAACACCTCCTGTTAGGGCCAGTGGACTTACCACCCATCTTTCTTCCTAAGTATTACGCGTGCTTCTTAGCCAGTGCTACCCTCGACGCTCCCACATTTCAGCCAGAACAGTCCAGAATTGACTTCCCTCTGATCCCAGGGGAAAAACACAAAGGCATAGTTTTCTTCTCTTCTATTTTGCTGATATTCCTAGAGGCCCTGATAGGTGAAAACACCCACAGAATCCTCCCAATATCATAAAGGAAAAGCCAAATAGGGAGGGTTCACGCATAGTTCAGGTGTTTTGGGGGACCCCTCCTGATTGGTTCTAAGTGTGGGCCAGAGCCCCAGGTGTTTGATTTAGTTGAAGGAGCGGTTGCATGCATGTGTGGGAGAGGTGGGATTAGTTTCTTCTCCAGGCTGCAGAGATACGCAATCACGGTTCCCGAGCTGTTGGTCCTAGAGAGGAAAGAATTCTTTTTCCTTTTTGGTTGGTTTTGGATTCACACCCACTGTGCTCAGGACTTGTGGTTCTGTGCTCGGGGATCACTCCTGGCCAGTTCAGGGGACCATATGGAGTGCTGGGTGTTGAACCTGGGTCAGATGTGTGCAGGGCAAGTGCATCATCCACTGTCTTATCACTCCGGTCCTAGATCTTGGAGAGGGAAGAATTCTGGGGCTGGAGCAATAGCACAGTGGGTAGGGTGTTTGCCTTGCACGTGGCCGACCCAGGTTCGATTCCCAGCATCCCATATGGTCCCCTGAGCACCTCCAGGAGTAATTTCTGAGTGCAGAGCCAGGAGTGACCCGTGTGCATCACCAGGTGTGACCCCCCCTCCAAAAAAAATAAATAAAAGAAAGAGAGAGAGAGAAGAATTCTGAGTGTTGTTGCAGTCCAGCATCTGCTCAGGCCCACAGAGAGCAGTCGTCTGGGCCATGTGATTGAAATATGAGCTGCAGTGCTGCAACCCGCCCCCCCCCCCGCCCCCCCCCCCGCCCCAGTTCTGCTGCTGCATAGGTGTAAGAAAGCTTGTCAAGACCCTGCCCTTTCTCTTTTCTTCTTCTTTCTTTATTTCTTTTTTTTTTTTCCTTTTTGGGTTACACCCGGGAATACAGAAAGGTTACTTTCAGCTCATGCACTCAGGAATTACTCCTGGCGGTGCTCAGGGAACCATATTGAATGCTGGAAATCAAACCCAGGTCTGCCCTGAGCACGGCAAATGCCCTACCCGCTGTGCTATTGCTCCAGCTCCGAGACCCTCCCGCTTCACATGCTTGCAGAAGCGTTCAGGGACTGAGCTGTGCTTGGCAGTATTGAGGAGTGACTAACTCTTTTGGGGTCTTCATGGGCCTGGGGGAAATTCTTGCTTTCTCTCTATCCCCAAAAGATGTGGGGAGAACAAAGTAGTTGGTGTAAGGGTTTTCCCAAGAACGTGGATTGATTCATTGGCTCTGCCATGCATGGGAAGTTCCTTCCTGTGAGCACGGGCCTTCTATTGCTAGAAGAACTTAGATTATAAGCTTGCTCTTAAAGCCAGGTTCTCCTGTGAGCTCGGTCCTGCTTGCTTGTGTCTCTGTGTCTTTGCTTGCTTATTTCCACTCTGAAGAAGCCTGGGCTCTCTCTTGAACACATATTTTCTCACCTCACATCTTTTTGTGTAAGTTTCATTCGATAAAAATTACCTTGCTTCACTAATGGAGATGGAGGAGGAAAGAATGATTATAACTACCGCTTTGTTCTTATCCCATTGCTCCCCACCCCACCCCCCAGACTCTGGACCATAGGGCGAGCCAAGAAAAACGGTAACGCTGTTCTTTCTTGCTTTGCCAGGCTCCCTGAGGTACCGGTCTGGAGTGGAGGAAGAAGCTGTTCCCTGAGGTGTTTACTTAGCTCACTTAGCTCACTTAGCATTTTCCTACCTGCTTTATCCGATTTCCTGGTACCTCCTTACCTTGCTTAAGTGCTTTGGTTCCTAGAGGCACCCATCTGAGTCCCAGCTGCATCCTGGTTCCTGGAGGCTGGTTTCCAGGACAGGCCCTGAAGGAACTCCACATATTTCTCCCACAAAGCCAAACCCCCCTGATCTTGTGTACCCCAAGAGGTAACTAGGAAAGAACTTTCATGGGCAATTCTGGAATGTTAGGTTTGGGTTCGGCTCTATGACTCCCGCAGCCTTAGTGTCTTCATGGCGTCTGGGGAAGATTGAGAGAGAGAGCTCCGAGCGTGGGAGCTGGGAGGGGAACCGGTGATGAGCATCATTGTTGCTGGCCTTTCTGACCAGGGTCCATGGAAGTTGATAAGAGCAGAGACCCATGCTGGTAACCCTTTAAACCTTTGCAGAGGGCTGGAGCGATAGCACAGCGGGCGTTTGCCTTGCGCGCGGCCCACCGGGATTCAATTCCCAGCATCCCATATAGTCCCCCCAGCACCGCCAGGAGTGATTCCTGAGTGCAGAGCCAGGAGTAATTCTTGAGCATCACTGGGTGTGACCCAAAAAGCAGAAAAAGAAAAAAACCTTTGCAGAGGGTGTGTGTGTGTGTGTGTGTGTGTGTGTGTGTGTGTGTGTACTTCCCTGAAAATATTATCTTCTGCCATTGTATGTCACATCCATCCATCCGTCTACTTATTCATGCATCCATCCTCCCCATTATTTTCTTGAGCTCTTCCTGTGTGCCAGGAAATGTTGAAAGCACTGAGTAGATAAAAAGTCAAAAATCCCAGTCCTCCTTGGAGCTTACTTACATTCTAGTCCTGAGACCGAGAAATAAACAAGGAAAATATAAAGTACCTTTACACCCACAGACCTGGCATTTGGGGAGCCAGGGGTGGGTGACCTTGAAAAGCTGCACCCTTCCCTTTGCAGCTTCCCACCTGTCACTGTGATTTCTTGGAGTTCCCGGAGAGCAGGGACTGAGTTGGCCTCTTCTTCTTTCTCTAGCACTTTGTTTGCTGATGGACATCTGTCAGGGAGGGGCACAGTGTGGGATGCAACCCACCACAGCCAACCACGGAAGGCTCAGGAAAGCAGAAAGTGCTGGAGGCACCCGTTTCCTGGGTGCCCTTCCCAGAATGTGCCCGTGTGCAGTCCAGATATTGCCTCTTCCTCGAATGGAGTGTTGGTACCTTTTCACCAAACCATCCTATCTCGAGGATCATTTCCTGTTAGAGCTTCCGTATTATTTGAAATAACTCTAGTAGGTGGATGCATCACGATTTCTGGAACCTGTTCCCTCCAGAAACTTCTGTTATCATTTGGTGCAATCTCTTGCTTCTAGTGAGGAGTGCCCCAGGTGTATTCCCTAGAACTGGGGCGCTGCCTTGGGACCTGTCACCTGGGCTTGATTTGTACAGGGAGGATAGAGAAAGGAGAAGACTTGAGGGGGACGAAGAGACCACGTGGAGTGGACAGGTTGCTGGTGTTCGTGTGCCTCTCGGCGGCCCTCTGATGCCCCAACTTTTGTTTCTGTACTAGGACGGAGAAGTCATGTTCAACCGGGCTAAGCTCCTCAATATCGGCTTCCAGGAGGCTCTGAAGGACTATGACTACAACTGCTTTGTATTTAGCGATGTGGACCTCATTCCCATGGATGACCGCAACACCTACAGGTGTTTTGTACAGCCCCGGCACATTTCCGTTGCTATGGACAAGTTTGGATACAGGTGAGTGGTCCTCGGCAGTCTGTTGTCTCCAGGAAGTGCAGCTCCACAGGCCCTGGAGTGCCTGCCTGGAGAAAAACCCTTCACTGAGAGTAGGGTGTTGGTTTTTGTTTTGTTTCATTTTGTTTTATGGGGTGGGATTGGGGGCCACACCCAGCGGTGCTCAGGGCTCATTCCTGGTGGGGGTGGTGCCATGGATCAAACCAAGTCCAGATGTGTGCGAGGCCATCCCTGTGCTATCTCCCCAGCCTGAGAGGGGAGTGTTTAATGTTGAGGATGGCTCTCATCTTTAGACTCCAAAGAGACATTAGACTCGCTTTCTTCTCCCTCCATCTCCAGTCGGTTTGCCTGCCTCAGTAGATGTCTCTACCCACTTTGGAAAGGAAAGGGTGGAGAGGGCGGCCGCCTTGCAGGATGCCGCTCACCCAGGTTTGATCCCCAGCGCCACCTAGGGTTCCCTGAGCTCTGCCAGAAGTAAGCCCTGAGCACTGCTGGGTATGGTCTCCAACCCATCCCCCCAACACCCCCACCCCCCCCCCCCCCCCCCCGTCCAAAAAAAAGAAGACGACCTCAGAACCTGATTCTGTTTCCCAAGTTTTCCAACAGCACACTGACTTAAAAAAAAAAAAAGGCAACAACAAACACCATCCAGATTTTCCCTAGCGGGGAACCAGCTCATACCTGGTTCAATGCAAAGCACTTTATCAGGGGAGGAAGGTGACCCTGTGTTCCCCTGTTTGATGTTCATATTAACATAATATATTTTCTTTAAAGTGATTTTCTTTAAATCACCGGTTGAGTAACCTGACCTTTCGCTCTCTGCTCTAAGTCAACTCAGCTCCAGATTTTGTGCTACCTATATCCTGGACACTCCGTGTTGCCTCCGGAGGGTTTCTTGCGGGCAGCCAGGCTCGGGCTCGAGTGAGGCGGCGCTGCCTCCTTGCAGATTCAGCTAGCACACAGTTCTCTCTCCTTGCTAGAGGCCTGAGGGCTAGAGATAAACTAGGGGTACTCTGAAGGCCTTAGATGTAAGCTTAAGGTGTTCAAGAGGTGAAGCGGGGGCCAGAGTGATAGTGCAGTAGCTAGGGGGGCACCTGCTTGCACACAACCATGCTGGGCTCAATCCCCAGCGCCCCAGAGGATCACTCCTGTGCCCCATTAGGAGTGATCCTGAGCACAGAGCCAGGTGTAAGCCCCAACCACAGCCAGGTATGGCCCCCAAAGCAAAATAAGAATAAAGGGGGGGAGGGGAACTGGACTTTAAATGTCCTAACTTCCCTCCCTTCTGTCCACTCAGTGTCACCTTCTTCTCTTTTGAGGTTCACAGGCTCATACCCCAGCCCCTCTTAATTGTGACCTGGAAGCATGGTGATGAGCACCTAATTCCTTCCTCAGCTGCTTCTCTTTTACCCAGAACTAGTTCGGCTTGGGGAACAGAGCAATTCTTACAGGTGTGTGAGGTAGCATGGTGGATTTAGTGGTACTAAGACTTATCAGTGTGGTGTTTTTCTCCTGAAAGGGACTAAGAGTCGTGTAGGTAAAAACGGATTTTCTAAGCCCAGGAGATGGCTCCAAGGGCTGGAGCACAGGCTCTGCATGTCAGAGCCCCAGGTTTGATCCCTGGCATGAGAATAATCCCTGAGCAATGAGCTTCTGGGTGTAGTCCCAGATTCTACCCCCACTCCCTCCCACAATTAAAACCCCAGTGATTTTTTTTTCAAAAACCTGTCTTGTCCAACTCTTACTTGAAAACATAGATTGCAGTGTGAGATAAGATAATTGGTGACTGACTTGGCATTAAGTGATGAGTCTTAATTATAGACAGAGTTCCTTAGGTTCATGGAAACAGGAGTTTTTGCTTGTGGGAACTTGCACTGAGAATCCCAGAGATATTTGAAAATAATAATTGCATCCTTTTCTCCTATAAGTTTTCTATGGTTTTGGCTGACTTCTTTCTCAAAGTCTAAGTTAAAGGTTCCTTATTTTGTGTAAGAGGTTTCGAGCTCTCTGCATTCTACCAGTAAGAGCCTGAGTGTGGTTTGCCGCTGTGCCCAGGGTTGTCACAAACCCACGAGAAGGCCTTTGGCTGACCTCTGGACAGGCCCTCCTTTTTACCATTGCTCCTCAGGATTTATTGTTCTGCAATGCCCAAGAGTCCACCTTCAAACCATTGAAACCTCGAGATGCTGAAAGGTTTGCAAGGATGAGAGCCAAGATGCCTATTGTTAGAAAATGTGTCGCGTGCCCGAGAGATAAGTAGGGGTTAAGACACTTGCCCTGCATGTGGCTGACCCCACTTTGATCCCTAGCACCACATATGGCTTCCTGAGTATCGTTGGATGACATTCCAGGAGACCCCCAGCTCTGCCAGTTTGGTTGGCATCATTCCCAGCATCTTTTCCCCGCTATAGCACCACATCCTCAAGCTGAGAGTCCTGTTAGTTCAAACATCACTGGGAAGGGCTCCCCCAGGCACCCTGAGCACTGTGTGGAAAGCTCCCCCTCCCACTCAAAAGAATTAAAATAAGTTCAAATAGATTGTTGGTTATACATTTTCCTAAATGACGTAGAACTTTCTCAGAAATCGTTGCTTTAGCCAGTTTTTAGAAATACTCCCTTTATTGGTGGGGTTTGCGTTGGATCGAGCTTAGAAGAAAGTTCAACCTACAGAGGGACTGGTGGACCGATAATGGGCAGGATAGCAGACACGCACCCCCTCCCCCCCTAGGAGGAAGAATGGGCTTACAGGCTCTTGCCACAGTTTTTTCTTAACCACGAAAGCAGCACAATCTTCCTGTGAAGAGAAAGAAGTCTGTCCATTTTTATATCTTTGTTTTCTCTAAAATAATCTGAGTCTGATGTCTTTTAAAAAAAAAATGCATTGTTTCTTTTTTGAGCAAGCTTGATTTTGAGAAAGTCCCAGGTCTCTAACTGCTGTGTGTCTCTTTCCCACAGCCTGCCTTACCTACAGTATTTTGGAGGCGTCTCTGCTCTCAGTAAACAGCAGTTTCTCACCATCAATGGATTTCCAAACAATTACTGGGGCTGGGGAGGCGAAGATGATGACATTTATAACAGGTAATGCTCACAGCTCTGCTCTCCGTCCCAGCATCCCGGCCCTTCCAGAGTCTTGATTAACAGCCATGGCTACACAGTCACACATGCCCCCATCCAGGCTCTGAGGCTCTCCATAATTGGATGCCAGGAGTTCCTAGTGTCCCCGTAGCATAAAAGCATCTGTCACTGGCGTTTCTCCTTGGCAGCGGAGAAACCCTGGCAGCTCCCTACCTCCAGAAAACCATCTTTTCCCTCCCAGTGATAGACTTGAGCCGTATTAAGGTGTTTGCTGTCTCTGTGCACCCTGATGCCTTTCCCTGTTTACCCTGGAGCAAAGTGCCTATTATTTGCAAATGAATGGAAAGTGTCATTCAAGATTAACTTTGTATGAAAACTTTGCTTTGTCTTTGTAAAAAGACTCTAAAGAAAATGAGTTTGAGCTTGCTGGCACTTGCTTTGAAAAAAAAATTTTTTTTTTGACTCCTGAGGCTAGAGAGATCGTATTAACAGATAGGGCACTTGCCTCGCACCTGTTCCAACCTGAGTTTCATCCCCAGCATCCCATATGGTCCAGAGGCCAGGAATAATCCCTGAATATCACTGGGTATGACCCCAAAACAGAGAGAGAGTGAGGGGTGGGAGAGGGAGAGGGAGAGGGAGAAGGAGAGAGGGAGGGAGAGGAAAAGGAAACATTGATAAATTGATTCCTGGGGCTCGGGGAGCTGGGCTGGCAAATAGTAGCGTAGGAAGGCTCTTGCCGTGCAAGTGACTGACCTGGGCTCAATCCTGGGCACCCTGAGCACAGGTGGGTGTGACCCAAACCCCCCACCCACCACTTTACCCCTCCGCCCACGATTCCTTTTCCCTTTGCATTTTGCTGTTGTGCTGACCGAACGTGGTGCCTGCTTGACTGGGACAGTCATTGAGCCTCTCACACCTGTCACGCTGCCCACACACTCGGGGTTGCCAGGTACAGAAGATCACATGCCTCCTTGTGGCCCCAGGAAGCCCTGAGGGCACCGCTGCCAGGATCACGCTTGTGGGGCCATGCCGGAAACCAAGCTCTCAGCCTCCCAACTGTAGTTCAGACACCAGTGCCACTAAGCTATGGCCAGATCCCCAAGCGGGCACTTCACTGAAGTGTCGGCTCCATACAGGGCACAGTGCCAGCTAGCCCAAAGTCATTGGGGACGTGGGCTTGAGGCCCCAGCAGACATGAGGTCCCAGCACTGCCCCTGGACATGCTGGGTTGCAGGGCCCCTGTGGCCCGCAGTCTGTGCTATTGGGAAGACGGGGGCAGCCGTGAAGGCAGGCGTGGGCAGGGGCTGAGAAACCAGAGGGCTGAGCAGGGTGGAGCAGGCTCCAGAGCAGCAGAGGGCCTGTCTCCTCCTCGGCCTCTTCACTGAGGGCCGCGCAGAGGGTCGCACTGTAGCAGAGGGGTATGGCCAAAAGCCTGGATCCAGCCCGTCCTGCCCCTCGACCGACTTTCCTTTCCCTGTCAAGACCTGTGAGTAGGGGCTAGAGCGATAGCACAGCAGGTGGGATGTTTGCCTTGCATGCGGCTGACCTGGGTTTGAATCCCAGCATCCCATATGGTCCCCTGAGCACCGCCAGGGGTAATTCCTGAGTGCAGAGCCAGAAGTAACCCCTGTGCATTGCCAGGTGTGACCCAAAAAGTTTATTAAAAAAAAAAAAAGGAAAAAAGACTTGTGAGTACTCTGAAGGCAGACACACACACACACACACAACACACACACACACCAGCGTATGCCTCAGAGTTACCTCACTAACTGCAGAACCAGCAGTGAAAGTCCACAGGAGGTGTGTTTGTGTGGGGGGGATGGGAGCGGGTGTGTGTATGTGTGTGTGGGGGGGTGTGTGTTCTTAACCCATGGGCATGATGGCTGGAGTGTGGTGGAAGGGACCACAGTCCTGTAGCCTGGGGACTGCCACTCCACTATGGTAGCTCTTACCACTCCCAGTATGGTAGCTCTGTGATGACTGTGCGTCTCTTGCCTTCTCACAGGTTACATTTCAAAGGCATGTCTATATCCCGTCCCAACGCCATGGTCGGGAAGTGTCGGATGATCCGCCACTCAAGAGACAAGAAAAATGACCCCAACCCTCAAAGGTACATTGTGTACTCCTTCCTGTTCCTTCTTTCGGAAGGGGGTAGGTGCAAGGGAGGCAAGGGAGGCCACTTGGTTGTTTTTTTTTTCTCTTAAAATATTTGTTCAGGCACCAACCCTCGCCTTTTCTTTTCCCTTCCAGGTTTGACCGTATCGCACACACAAAGGAGACAATGTTGTCCGATGGTTTGAACTCACTCAAATACCGTGTGGTGGACACAAAAAGGTTCCCTTTGTACACCGAAATCACAGTGGACATCGGGGCACCAAGCTAGCATTTTGGCGCCCCAGTAAGCAACTTAAAGAGGCAAGGACTCCTGCTGCATCCTGCCAATCCACCGGGCTGGTCCCTCGTCCTTACCCAACAGCGATAGGCCTTCACTTACCGTTCAGATGCCTTTCCAGGCAGCCAGAGTGGGATGGTTCATCCCCACCTTAGCTCAGCACGTGACTTATCAACACGACAGGGCGGTTTTGAGTGTAGCGACTGTCAGCCCTCAGGAATTCTCGGCACTATCGCTGTGTCATCCCAAAGACAGCTGGACAGGGTCCAGCATCTGGTGACCATGGGACTCATTCCCGGGATCAACTGCTAACTTGTTGCGAAATAAGAATTTTGCTTTAAGTCGTGGTATTCTTCTGACTTTACAAAAAACATGGGAGAGTGCTGCTGAAATGGAAATGATGGGGTTTTTTTGATCAGCTTATTTTGACAGAAAAACACAGTCCCCACCATTGACATTTTTTTCTCAGCCCCTCGCCCTGTAGGGGGTATTCAGCTGTTACAATCAGTTTGTGTACTCTCAGGTGTGTCTGTGTGTGTGTGTGTGTGTGTGTGTGTGTGCACGTGCGCGTGTGTGCCTTAGCCAAGGGATTTTAAAACTTGAGCCTTAGGTTTTCTTCACCCTGCTAACGTGTGACTTCCCAGGCATCTCTCCACATCAGAGCAGAAGCCTTGGGTGTCCCCAGACTCGAATGCCTTTCTTCCAGAACGTCTGATTTCTGAATGTAAAGACTTTTTTAATATGGCAGTTTGTAGTGTTTTTAAAGAAAGAACAAAGAGGGTTCTAATTATGATCTAGCTTGATTTTGTGTTGATCCAGATTTGCATAGCTATTCTAGTGCTAAATCGTCGCAATTTATTTTTCTGAGCATACTCTGTAAACTTGAATTTCCTGTATATTTGTATTGTGGTGTTTTTAAATATGGGGGCAGGGGTGAATGAGTATTTGGGGGTGGGGTGGGGGTGGGTGAGAAATAAGGTGTGCAGTAGTGGCCAGAAATGGGCCTCCCACCTAGCTGAGAAGCCAGGACTTAGACAGAAATCACTCTTAGGTTTCTTGATGAGGGTTAGACCTAGTCAGAACTACTCGCAGGGCCTCTGGGTGGAGGCAGGACCTGCCGGACACTTTCTGCGTCCTCCTGGGACCTTCTTCTGGGACCCTGGGCTGTGGAGTCAGCAGTGGCAGCAGTGAGACTGTGTACTGGCCTTTAGTGCGGGGCCGTGTCCTCTGCTGCCCTCCCCCCTGCTCTCTCCCTCCTCCCTATCCTTTGCCTTCTTCATTGGCCTCCTTAAAACTGGCCTGTGTCACTCAGGGTCAAATCAACTATTCATTCTCCATCCCAAATGTGCCTTTTAATTAGAGATTTGGGGGCTGGGGGTGTAGCTCAGTGGCCAGGCACACTGGCCTTAAGTGCATGAGGCCCTGGGCTCCATCCCCCATACCACAGAGACAGGGCAATTCAACTGCAATTCTCCGAGACCACTCTGGTGTCTGAAGGCCTCCCTCTTCCCTCAGGTTTTTACCAGGTGCTCCCACTCTAGGGAGGATACCCACGGGGTGCTTCCCCGAGCTCCCCTTCACTGGGAGAGCTTCGAGCCTGCCTGCGGTAAGATGCCCAGTTATGCCACTGAGCACCCTGGCTGGGTCCAGCCTGGTGAAGGTCCTCCAGCTGCACCACCAAATCCTGACTTTTCCATGGGGGGTCAGCCCATACCCCCACCTCTGACCTCAGTGTGCAGACTGAGCTGGCACCCCGCCCCAACTTGACCTGTGCCTTTATCATTTTAGAACATCTCAGATGCTAACTTGGGTCATCACCCCCACACCTCCTGTGTCCCAACTTTTGCTTGGTTGAAAATGATCGAAAAGCAGCTGGGCTCTGAAGAGTATTCTTCTGTTTCCTCTCCTTCCCTGGTGACAATGCTATTAAGACTTAGAGTGGCCACATGGAGGGAGTTTTGGGAAATGCAAAGGATAAAGGGTCCTCTTCCCCCCCCCCCATTCTCATTTCTCCAAAGTGCCTTAAAAGAAAGGAGATAGCGACCCAGGCGGTCACTTCTTTGGGACTTTACACTTCAAACAAAGTACTGGCCTTTTTTCCCCCTTTCTGTTCCATTGGAATCGTTGTGTATGTGGTTCTTTCTTGGAACCAGGGCCAAGCTGCTTCCCCGTGTCCACCTGCTGACCTTCTGGTGCTCTTGGTGGGGGCACACGGGCCCAGTGCCTGGATACTCCCCAGGTCCTGAGCTGCTGTGGGCCGCTCCCCTCTCATCCCTGGGGCACTCAGGAAGCCACTTCTTCTCCGGGAAGTTGGCCTCTGCCTTCCCTTTATCTCTCCTGGAGGCGCTGATCCTGCCCAGTGGCCTCTGGGAATGATCTGAGGACAGAGGTGGCAGCCCAAGAGGGAAAAGAAATGCAGGTGCTGGCTCTCAGCTTGGGCCTGGTCTCCACTGAGCTCAGGGCTGGGGGAGCGGGGACCCCACACCACCAGAGTAGCAGCTCACCTGTGCTGGACAATTGTGCTGTAAGCTTTGAGTTCCCCTGTATGCAGATGAGTTTCTTTACCTTTTTATTTTTCTCAGTGGGCGGGGGAGGGAAATTTCTGATCTTGGTGTTCAAAACACGATTGTATTTTCTGCCTTTACAATCCAAATATAACATGAATAAATGATGCATCTTTGTAACTGCTGTCATCGCCTTTTGCATTTCCGGGGGTGGGGGTGGGGTGGGGTGGTTAGCTCCCATTCCTGATGGTTCTTGGAGGGCAGTTCTGATCCAGGAAGGATCGTTCCAGGATGAAAGGAACTGGGATTAAAGCAATGATGAACCCCTCACCAGCACCCACTTGGGAGAAGTTTGGGACACTTCCCAAGTGACCAGAACACCCCAAGCCCTTCTCTGGCCACTTCCTGCTGGTTTCAACAAATGCTAAAACTTTTCTAGAGTTCTTAGTGCCATTTACAGAAGGTTTTCACCCCCAAGTGACCCTGCAGTCCTATTACCCAGGAGCCTGAGAGATTACACAGGAGGTTAATCTACTTGCCTTGTTTGTACCTGTTTAGATCACCCGTTAGACACCAACCCCCCAACACACACCCCGGCATCATATCTGGTACCCCCGTAGAACCAAGTGTCCACAGGGTCTCACTGCAAACCAAATAGAAAACAGTGATACCAGCCAGTGTCCATCTTCTTCTTTAATAGCCTCATCCCTATCCCCAGAAAATTTAAGCAGATGTTGAAAAGGGTCAGTCCTAGTTGTGACCCAGCTACTTGAAACACTAAATCCCTGGGATGTCCTCCCACCCTGAGACTTGGGCTCAGGCCCCAGCACCTTTTTCATATGGGTCAGACTGAACAGGCCCCCACCCCAAAGAGGCCAGTGTGAGTTACCACCCCCTTCCCTGCCCTCCTGTCCAGCCTGAGAGCTGGGACTATGGGCATGAGAGCAGGAGGGAAGCCCCTCAAGAGCTCGCCGTGGGTACGTCAGTGTCCATCTGCAGGCAGGAACCCACAGCTGGCCCGGGGCTTCAACACTGTGAGGCCTCACTCTTCCTTCCAGGGCTGAATTTTTGGTTTGGGGGCCAAAAATCCTGGCGGTGCTTAGGGATCACTCCTGGCAGAGATGAGGGGATCCTAGGGGGGTACCAGATATGATGCCCTCTTCGACACCCCCTGTTAGTCCAACAGGGATGTCTAACAGGCGTGGAACCACAGTCAGCCTCGTGCAAGGCAAGTGCCCTGCCCTCTGCACTCACTCCAGCCCTCTGCCTTCCAGGGTTTTCCCAGCTCTAAGGTTTGGACTAAGGTCAGCACCTTCCCCTTTTCCCCAGAGGCACATATCACACCGATCTGTACACGAAAACATACATGTAATGCCCCAGGTGTGTGCCTGTGAGAGTGACCAGAGGCACCAACAGCCCTGGACCAGAGACACAGCAGTGAGTCCCGGAAGATACCACAGCACTGAAGATCTCTCTGGGCCCCACACCAAGCCAATTTCACTGGGCCACCTCAGATGGAGCAGGTACAGTCTCCCGACCTACTCCAGATGGAATCCTGGCGACCAAGCGCTTCCACAAGCAAGGCCCAGGTATGCGGGTTCCAGGATGAAATCTCCATGTCACCTGGCAACAGAGGACTTGGACTGCCCCTCCCGGGTCCCCGCCCACCCAGAAGACTGGCTGTCACACCTACAATTTGCCTCTGGGTGCCATCTTAGGACAACAACAGCCCTGGTCTGGAGACTCCCAATTGAATCCCAAAATGGATTAGTGCCATACAGAGATGTCTCTAGAATCCAACCATTTACAATCTAGAATTCCAGAAGCACGCGGCCACTCTCATGATATAGCTCTCGTGATATTCAAAACAAGTAATGGAAAATAAATTATCTAGCATCTGTCCCTGGCAGGTAGGCTTGAATGGTGGTGGGAAAATTCAAGCAAAAAAATTCCCCAAAATAGGGAGAGAGTATTGGGGAAATTGTCTGCCATGGAGGCAGGGAGAGGACTCAAATGGGGCGGCAGGGTGGTGGGGGCGGGGATGCTGGGGACATTGGTGGTGGAAAATATGCACTGGTGGAGGAATGGGTGTTTGATCATTGTATGGCTGGATCTCAAATATGAAAGCTTTGTAACTATCTCACAGTGATTCAATAAAATAAATAAATAATTTTAAAAGAGTGACCAGAATACCAGGGCTCACATCCCACCTCTAAGTCTTAGCAGGTCTGGGAATTTCAGGCAAGGCTAGCCCTCTGGCTGAGATAAATGAAACTGCCTCTGTGTGCTCATCTCTGTAATGGGCAGAACTGTCTCACCCATAGGGCTATTACGAAGAGCCAATGAGTCGATGAGTTCTTAGCATGTGCATGGCACTTAGCATCATACACAACAAATACTTGTTTCATTTGTTTCGAAGACACAGGTGCTGACAAACCAGGCAAGTATGTTACCCCTGACACACCTGCTAACTGGCTGCTGGGCATGTGACCCTCAAGGGCGGGAGGGAGGGAGGAAGGAAGGAAGGAATGAAGGAAGGAAGGAAGGAAGGAGGGAGGGAGGGAGGGAGGGAGGGAGGGAGGGAGGGAAGGAGGGAGGGGGGGGAGGGAGGGAGGGAAGGAAGGAAGGAAGGAAGGAAGGAAGGAAGGAAGGAAGGAAGGAAGGAGGAAGGAGAAAAATGGAAGGAAGGAGTGAGGGAGGAGAAAAATGGAAGGAAGGAGGGAGGGAGGGGAAGGAGGGAGGAAGGGAGGGAGGGAGGGAGGGAAGGAAAGGAAGGAAGGAAGGAAGAAGGAAGGAGAAAAACGGAAGGAAGGAGTGAGGGAGGAGAAAAACGGAAGGAAGGAGTGAGGGAGGAGAAAAAAGGAAGGAAGGAGGGAGGGAGGGGAAGGAGGGAGGAAGGGAGGGAGGAAGGAAGGAAGGAAGGAAGGAAGGAAGGAAGGAAGGAAAAGAAGGAAGGAAAAAAGGACGGAAGGAGGGAGAGGAGGGAGGAAGGGGAGGGAGGGAGGGAGGGAGGGAGGGAGGGAGGGAGGAAGAAAACAAAGTTTGTGTGATGGGTGGCCCTACCAAACAAGCTTCACAGGCTCTGGCAGAGTCCCCAGGTGGCTGTGTGCTGCCTCCCCTGGCCTTGGGGACTTGCACCAGCATGGCAGATCTGAGTGTTACCAAAGAGACAAGATCAATAGACCAGAAACCAAAGGAATGTGGCATGCAAGGACACCTTCATGTCAGCAAGATCTGTGCTGGTCCACAGGGCAGAGGGCTGGGGTGACAGCCAGGAGAAGGGTGCACACACTGCCACCCTCACAGGTTCCCCATGCCTCTCCCGTCATGGGCCGTGTTCCTCACAGTACCCTCACAGTCCCCTCCCCCAGTGAGCCATGAGATAGTGCCCACCCCAGACCTCCCCAGAGTCTTGGCCATTTCCCGTTTAGTCTTGGGCTGTGTGTGTGTGTGTGTGTGTGTGTGTGTGTGTGTGTGTGTGTGTGTTTCCCCCTTATCTCACATAAGGTCACCTGGGAGGAAGTCACTATCTTAAGTCTTCCCGTGTAGCAAGAACAAGACCACATGATATGGGAAACAGGTCAGAGGACAGGATTTTTGCCTGCACAAGCCCCAGATTTGATCCTAGAAACCACACAGGAGTGATCCCTAAGCACTGAGCCAGCTGTGACTCCAAACCAAGCAAGATTCCCGCCTGCCAGCCCTTCCCATCCAGGGCTTCCTTGAACATTGCGGGAGGGACTCTTAAAGGTCTACTAGGGCGCCTGGACCATAGTACACTGGGTTGCCTTGCCTTGCATGTGGCCAACATGGGATCAGTCTCTGGCATCCCATATGGTCCCCTGAGTATCCCCAGAAGTGATCCTAGAGCACAAGAGTAAGCCCTGAATACAGCAACCCAAACCCCTGCTCTACCACCCCCACTCCCCCAAACAGCAACCAGAACCTGAGAGATATGGTTCAAGTGGTAGAGCACATGCCTTGCACGGGTAAGACCCTGGGTTTGGTGTCTGGCACTGTGTGGCATCACCACAAAACCTATCAACTCAGAACACTGAACTGTCACGTGTCATACAGTGGCCTGGGTTTATTATCCACTGACATTGTTCATACCCTTGAATCACTTGCCTAGATACTAGAGATTAGCTCTTTAGAACAGGACGCTGACCAAGGGCAACCCCCACCCCCAACCCCATTCTAAGCCGAGAGGGTGAATCAACAGTAGGTGTCGTGGCCTTCATGGCCAAAACTCCCAGCCCCTGCCCCAGCCCACTCCGACAGGTGGTAAGTGTGGACTGAAAGGAAATGCTGTAGAACTAAGGAAAACCAGCCACAGACTTACTGAAACCTGCTGGAGTGATCATTTGCTAGGATGCCAGATCTGATCAATCTTAGTGTGGGGCCACGGGACATTCGCCAGGGTGGCTTGAGCTTGGTGAAACAGACTTCAAGGTGTTGGCAACAGCAACTACCTGACCAACACTAGAATTGTCCAGAGCCTGGGGCTGTGACCCCCTGCCTGCTCAGCCTTAGGATTACATCTGACCCAGAAAGCTGGAGTCTGTAAATTCCCAGCTGCTCTAGGTTACACATGGCCACAAATCCCCCACCAGCCACCCCATGGGCATCCAGGTCCACACAATCTCAAAACCAAGGGCATGGACTTAATTTGGCAAGCATGAGCCCTGACTCAGTGCTCATGCCAGCTTGTGCTCAGATTTCTACCACCGGCCCTCCTTGGAGACAAAAGGAAGAAAGGGATTTTACCCTTACTCATGGATGGGGACATAACCCCAGAAAGACCCCCATGCCATACATTTCTGAACTGCGTAAGCAAGACTTCTGGGCAACATCCCTATTAGTGTTCAATGAAATGAAGAGATCAGGGCAGAGACCATCAATAAGTTTGGAGAAACTTTAAAAGAATGTATGGAAAACCTCATCTAAATAAATATGAAGGTGCTAAAGGGTATAGTAGCTAAATTAAAAATGTATTAGTGGAGGGCTGGGGAGATGACTCAGAGGGCTGAGTGCAGGCTTTGCATGCAGGAGGTGCAGGTTCAGAGAACAGCACCATGAGGTCTTCTGAGCACTTCCAGGAGTGACCCTAAAGCATAGACAGGCATGGCCCCAATTTCCTACTCCAAAATCAAGGAATAGGAA